AGTATTGGCCTGATACTATCTTATCTCAAACTTCTTCTAACATTTCTGGCGTTGTTGATGGATTTTTAAGTGGTTGTACTCCATTTGATGGTTTCCTTACTAGTACACTCGATTGTTTATATAGTAACAAATGTCTTGAACAACTCACAGATTATTTTCCAAATCTAAACCAAGTATGTAAATCATAATAACATTTCCTTCATATGAATGACTTTTATCTCTTAGACAAATTTTAATTTCACCGATTCTTACCTATTATCAAATCGTCAAAATAATTCTTTATACGAACGTTTAACTAATCTCTTTATTGACGATTGGACACCAACAATTAATTATTCAAAGTATTTTACTAATTGTGCACCTCTTCTCTGCACATATAGCACAACTGATCAAAATAGTTTATCCTATACTATTATTTTCTTACTTAGTCTTTATGGTGGTTTAACTATCATGTTTCGTTTAATTGCACCTGCTGTAATTCATAGTTTATTGATATTTGAAATTAAGTCAGCATCAATTCGAGAAATGTTTCAATGGATTAAACAAATTAACCTATTCAAGTCATCTGTCAATCAAAATATCGATGCAGCCAAAAACAAACAATATCTGATTACTCGTGTCTATTTGGTTTTACTTGCAGGTTCTATTTTAACTCTTCTTCTATTCACTTCATTGAGTACACATATCACTACAATGACTATATCAAATCCATCAATAGATGTCTATAGAAATTTACAAGATATACATCAGGATACATTAAAATGTCCTTGTTCGACTACAACAATACCATATGAAACATTTATTTCATTATCTCCAAATTTTCATCAAGTATGTTCAAGTGGTTTTGTCAATGATGCATGGATAACACTTCTCAGTCTTATTCGTAATGGATTATATAATAATTGGCCTACTCGAGCTGTTCATCAGTTTCGGTTATTGTCAACTATGTGCGAACTAGTTAATGAAACAGTTATTGATGCAGTTGAACGTTTTATTATTCGTTCATTAGTTACATTCAATGTTCTTACTGAAACTGATTTTATCATTCAATCAAATACAACTGTCAATCAATTTATTCAATCGACAATTATCAATTTTGCTCTTCTTTTAGATACAGTACATCTTTTTCTACAAGTTGATCAACCTTTTAAAGTACCAGATTACTTACCGCCATCATTATTATATGAAAAAGCAGCTGATCTCTATAATCCAGATTCATGGAAGGTATACATATCATCTTAGGATTATAATAATAAAAAATAAATATGATTCTTTTCTTTTTTTATATAGCTCATTTTTTCTTTAACTGGTATGTTCAATACAAGTGGAGTATTTAATAATTGTATGTGTGCTATCAATCCATATTGTCAAAGACAAAGTGGTTTATACAACTGGGTAACTACATCAAATAATACCGATGTTTTTATTATGACTTATGCAATACCGAGTTCAATTGATGGTTGTTATGCTCTTGATTCATTTCTTTTATCAACTCTGGAATGTTTCTATTCAAATTCAGATTGT